TTTAGGCTCTTTAAAGAAGAGAAAGGAGACAAATTACTGATGTACGTAACTGCAAATGGATGCTTACACGGAAAATGGAGCCAGAGGCTTCTTGGAAGTACATAGCAAAGAGTTGAGGCAACTGACACAAAAGGCAGAAAAAGAAATTCAGAGAAATTTATTTGAATGTAAGGAAGGAAAATCTTTCCAGTGAGGGAAAGGCTAGAAAAGGGACAAAAAGAGCGGTAAGCACAATCTTTGTCCTTGGAGGTTTCTGAAATCAGTGGCCACAGCTCTAAGCAACTTTGATTTAACTTTGAAGTCAGCCCATGCATGACTGAGATTGGGATCTTCAGCCCAACCAGACTTCCAGAAATCCCTTTCAACCCATTTTCTCCCTGTTTCACATCCTTCTGTCCTCTTGAATGAATGCAATAAAAATCTTGCTCCCCAAATTACCTTGAATATACATGTTTCTGTAGGTTGTTTTTTTTCCTTTTTCTTTGTTTTTGTTGTTATTGTTTTTGTTTTTCCCCATCCTGGAAGATGTCATTACCCTCTAAACAGGATTTATGTTAGCATGCATAAGCATACATATGATTTATGTCTTAGGAGAATGGTTTAAAATTGTAAAAAACCCCTAAATCATAGTGTTAATCTGTATAACTTGCATCTTGTAGAAAAGAAAGATTGGTTATTTCTGTTATTGCTTTGCAGTCAGTTCTTCCATTTTATGTGGAAGCTTTGAAAGATCAATGATGATTCCAGCAGGCTAGTTAAAAACCTTTTTTCCTTCAAAATGCAATAACCAGCATGATGTTAGTAAATGCCTGTGGGAGACTTATTAAGGAACCCCGGAATAACTTTGCTCCATGACATTTTTATTTCCATCAGCTTTTCAGGAGTCAATTACTTTTATTTTGTTATGTGAACATCTGGAATGTAGCAGAGCTTTTAAAGATCTTAAATTTGGGCCAGATTGTCACCTGTAATAAAAACATGATTGTGTTTATGTATCTGTACACACACTGTAAAGGGGACTTGTAGGCACTGTTGGACTGCCTCAGCTCACATAGTGTCAGGATGATAACCACAAATACTTTACAGCAGCTGACATTTGAGATCCTTGCTTCTTCTTCCCCAGTTTTATGGGATGGCAATAAAGGAATGCTGTAGGATGCTGGTGTACATCAGGCTCTACGTCACTATGTATCTCTTTACACTGACATATTCCTGGTGAGCGCTGTGGTCTGAGCTGCTGCTTATTTTAGTATGTGAAGCTCAATATTAATATAGTTGGAAAACCTAACCAAAATCCTAATCTTTAGGTACAAAATGAAAAACCAAGAGCCTAACTCCTAAAATGAAAAGCAGTGCCAAAACTTTCAGCTAGTTTAGATTAGTAGCATGGTGAGTGGTGGGAGGGGAGGAGTCTCTTCCAAAAGATAAAGGAGCAAAACTGTTGGTAGGTGTTAATGAACAGTACTGACATTGGTATCAATTCTTAGAGACGAAATCTATGTGTGGCTATCAAAATATAAATGTTCCTTTTTTCTGTTTAGCAGCTCAGAACATGCATGCTTCTGACTAAAATTAGTGTTTAAAAGATAGACACACCAGATCCAGACATAACTAATCATAAACAAGTTTTCACTTTCCTGATTTTTATGCTGTGCTATTCACCTTGAATTGGAAATGCTGTTGTTCCAAATACTACACCTGTTGCAAATGCTAATGTCCATTTTCATGTTTCGTGCTTGTCTTTTAGCATGTGGAAGAGACCTACAAAGTGATGAAAAGTAAGAAATAGTGACACTAACTCAAAAATGAAACCAGCTGAAGGAATAAATAGAGAACATTCATGTAATAATTGTGGTTCATAACTGCATTGTTTTATAAGGCCACAGTATTCAGCTGGGGATTTTCCAGCCAGAAAGATATAAATACAGGCTGCATAAGACAAAGACTGCCAATCTGATGTTCCCAGAAAATGGTACATTTACCATATTGTACATGTGTAGCATATACAAAGGCACCTTTGGAGATGAGTCAGACTTGCTAAGTAAGCATCTGTACAACCAACTGCACACTATAGGTGCAACAGATCATTTCATTTCTTCCCAGGAGTGTTGACCATACTGTGAAAACAAGCAGAGAAGCTTTCATATGCATGGTGTCACACAAGCTGTGTGTGAATACTGCAGATTTGTTCAGATTTTCAGATGTTGTACAAAGAGATTTGGAACTGCTCATGTGCAGCAGCATCATGACATAAACAGAGACTATATTTTTCAATATTTTCACTGATAAAATTCTTAGGTTTCAAAACATGTCAGCTTACTACTTTGTCTACTACTTTTTCTTTGGTTGTTTGCATAGGACTTGTTTGTTTCAACATGGTAATAAGAGTTCTGTCTCTTCAGATGTGTTTACCAGATTTCTGACACAGCAGGACACCAACATGAAATTACCAAGTATCCTCCGGTCTTACAACATGCAGTCAACTTGAGTGTAATGGTACATACAGGTAAAATAGACATCTGTGCTCCTATAGTAACAAGGTGTTTGCCACATCTAAAGTGCAACAGCCACTGTAGTTGCATTTAACTGCTCTAGTTGTATTTTGGTGTGCTTTCACTGCTTTTAATAGAGTGGCAATACCTGTGGTCCTACACTGAAGCAGGGAGCTGGAAAGATTACCCTTTCCACTATGTATTCAGGACCCCATGTCATTTGGAATTGGTGGGGCAGGAGTATTCAATCCCTGTGGATTCACTTTAGCCTGGATCTATCTTTTTCCCTGAAATTGTGGTGCCGATAGCAACACAATCTTGGCTTTTTCCAGTTCCCTCTAAATTATTTTTTAGCTGTCTGCAAATCAAGAAACATGGCTACTGAATAGGGAAATCCTGAAGTTATTATATCAGCTTCCAATGAATGAGACAAGACCATATTTGTCTTTACAAAGAGCAGCCTTTTAATTTAGCTGCAGTCAGCATCTGGCATGTATGTGTATTGCAGTGCTTTCTGCAACCGTGCTTGTGACAGTCACATACCAGGCAGGCTACTTTTAAAGTGCCCTTTCAATACCAACCTCTTTGTATTTCATCCTACAGCTGCATCACTGCATGCAGAGCAGTCAATATTAAGCCTTCATTTAACCTTTTTTTTTTTTTTTTGACTGCATGGATCTCTAGGTCTGCTTTGAGAAAAAAAAAATTCAAACATTCTACAGATGCTTAGTTGCATGGAAGAACTCTAGCACGAACAATAACAAGAAGTGAACTGTTTCATTTCCCTCTTCTGTTTCTGACAGAGTTGATTATGAGCATCATGTAAGATATGCTAACAGTTGATGACTGAGAAAAAGGTTCTTTTCTTAAAACTGGCCATTATACTAGCTTGTAGAATTGAATAAAACCCCAACAGATGATCAGGTATATCAGAACTTTTCAATGTTGCATGCATTCATCCCCATTTAATCTAGGAGTGGACCAGAATTACAGGACAAAAGTGAGAACTTCGCTCTGATATCATTGTAACAAACAAGGTTTCTTCTCACCTTTTTGAGTTCTCTCCCGTCACTTCTCTGCACCACCTTTTGAACAGCACAGAACACAGCAAAATAAATTACAAAACTCTGCTTTTAATTTCCTCACTCAGCAACATTTCCTCTTATTAATCAATAGTCATGGCAGACGACCGCAACTCGCCACCCGTCTTTAAAGCTGTCTTATGACAAACAGGAGGCCTTCAGGACCTGACCCGTACTACCTCTCCTCACTGCCTCTCGAGCGCAGGTACATGGACCAAGCTCGCCACCCTACCGCCTAGGGAAGAAGGGCCTGGCCGCCGGAGTTGCCGTGCGTGACTCTCTTCTCCCTCTGGAGGGAGACACAGTCCAGTGTTTGGCTGCCACCGGCGTCGCCGCGGCCCTCCTGCCCCTGCTCCGGCAGCCGCGGCCCTCCTTCCCTGGGGCAGCTGCCTTGCCCTGCCCTTCCCGGCCGATTCCTCCCCGCCCGGCGCCCCAGCCTCCCGCCTCAGCAGCACAGGGGTCCCAGGGGAGCGGCGGTGGGGCCGCCGGGGGTACGCGGGGATCTCCTCGGGCACATGCGCCTGTGCGTAAACTTCGCACCCCCGCCCCGCTGCTCGGAGAAGAGAAGGGAGTGCTGCGCTGCGGAGCGGGAGGCGGAGGGAGGCGGTCCAAGCCCCAGTGTGCGCTGCTGGCTGAGCCCCGCTCCTCCGTCAGACAGAACGGCGGCCGCTGGGACCTGCTCTCTCTTAAGGGCTGGGGAGGAGAGCCGCGAGTGACTGGATAAACACAGGGGAGAAGGGGGTCTCTCCCTCTCTCCACCTCCCTCCACCTCCTCCCTCCCCTGTGCCGCGGAGGACACGCTTGGAACTGCCTCTGGCTGCCCGGGCGCCCGGGGCGTCTTCGCTCCCTTCCGCGGTGCGGTGCGCGCAGGCTGGGCGCGGGAGGCTGCTGGTGCTGAAGGTGAAGCTCTCGCTCTCCAATTACTTTTCCCAAGAGAGCGAAGAAGGCAGCAGGAGGGGGAAGTCGTGCTGTGTGTGGAAGGCACACCAATCAGAGATGCTCTAACGGAGGGACTGCTTGCTGCAGGACACGCTGGATTCTCCTCCTTCCTCTGCCGGCGGCGCTGAATCGCGACTACGCGCAGCTGGCATAGGGGCCGGAACCGTACAAGGCTGCAGGACTTCCTCATCTCCGCTTTTCCAATAGCTCCTTTATCCTCTTTATTATTTTTTTTTAATACTCTGAAATCCTGCACAAGAAACACTTCAAGTCTTCCCTTTATTCGCAGTTACTTCACTCTTTCTTCTAGCATCTCTTAGCTGAATTCCTGGTGTATTCGCAGAGGCCGGGGGAGAGAGCCGGGCCCCGAGGACGGCTGCTGCCCCAACCCGGCCGAGCCGAGGGGAGCCGAGAGGAGCACGGCACGGCGCCGCTCCATGCCCCCGAGCGCTGGCGGGGCGCGGGGCGTGTGCCGGCGATGCCCGGGCGGTAAGGCTGGAGCTCCCCCCGGATGGGAGACGGCCGATCGCTAGGCATTTCTAGCAAGAATCGTGACTGCAGGTAGGTGAGCGGAGCGCTCCAGGGTCTTGTGTCTGTCTGTGCGTCTGTCCGGGCTCTGGTCGGGCCGCTGGGAGATACCCTTCGCGGTTGGCGGAGACCCTGCGGGCGGCGGGCGCAAGCGGCCGCGGCGGGGCCAGGTGTGACATGTGCGGAGCGGTTGCCGCGGGCTGAGCCCTCCTGTTGCCGTAGAGCTGGACGAAGCCGGATGTGAAGAAGAGCTGCTTTGCCGTCCTTCTGCTGGGCACCTGGAGCAGCCGGCTACAGCCTTTCGCCGGGCGATCCTCAAGGCTTTTGTTTTCCCTTTTAATTTTCTTTGATTTTACTTAAAAGAATAGTTCAACAAAGCCAAGAGGGAGGCGGGGGGGAGCAGGGGAACCCATCCCGTTTTCAACTTCTATGGAAAGGGTGGCCGCTAACTCTCAGGACCTTCGGGCACTTGGGGGTTACTCTGCCCGGACGCTTTATCGGCCGTCTTCAAGAGGACAGCTGAAAGAGCGGGTAGTCGTTTTATGCGTCCTCTAAAAACAACACAAAACAAAAACCGATAAAGGGAAGATTCACGGCTTCGTTTCTTTCTATGTGTAGTTCTCTCTAAGTTGCGGATATATAGTATGAAACATACCTTGTCTATCCACATTGCTTACTTGGCATCTCAGTGAGCTTATTTACCTGCTAAATATATTGCAGTTTCTGTATGCCACAGTGAGAGGACTTTTCCCTTATTCCATCCCATGGATAGTTTAGCAAGAGAAAGTTTTAAAATAACCTGCTTTATTCCTGTGGAGCTGTGGGATCGGACACCAGGTTATCAATGCAAACAATAAATAGCAAGAGCTTGTGCTGCCCTGTTAGGAGTTGCCGCGCATGGTTCTTCATTCCTACGGAAGTTAAAATCATTGCTTAAAGCATTTTAAATTATATGTGTAGTTACAGTTCTCTCTTTCCAGCTTTTGCTTAGAGCTTCACAGTATTTTTTTTAAAGTACCTCAGTTCTACCACCCTACCCTCAGTAGACACTGGCTCAGTATTTAAAGAGCCGTGCTTTGACTCCTGCAGAACTGTCAATTTAAATAATAAACATACTCAACTCCTATCTCTGAAAAAGCCATAAAGGATTCCAGGTTGTAGGGTCTTTGCACCGTAGTGGATACATTTAAATTACTATTGACTAAATGATGATTGTTATCCGGTTTCTCTGTCTTACCAACTAGTTTCAGACTTCAGCATTCAGTCTGTTTAATGCTTTAAAGATACTTTATGGGCTAATTTAAGTCAAATTTAGAAATTAAGATTCTTTCTTGTAGTGTTGGGTACCTACTCGAAACACAATAGTTCAGTCATACTAGGAGGATAGCTTAGCTGAAGTTGGGAAAGAGCATACTAAGATATTTTTATCAGAGTGGTAAAGGTTACAAGTTTCATTATACTTTTCCACAGTCATGGGCTGTCGTCTCATACTGATGCCTAAATTGTTTTGTGAGTATATAATTAACAGTATTAAAATAATTACTGTAAATTTCATTACTAATATTTCATTTCACAGATCTGGTGCTGTTCAAGCAGTATTGAAAACCGTGTGGGTTTTGTTTCATATAGCCCAAATTTCCAGTAGTTATTCTTATAAATGTAAACTACCTAAATACCATAATTTCAGTGGAAAGCTTTGCTCAGTTGATATAGCAAATCAGATTTACTACTCAGTGGTTCTGCATATTTTTTCATAGAAGGTCCTTAAAAAATATGGTATTAATTTCAGATACACTGATGGTATTGGGTGACTGAGATAAAATCTTGATTCTGTCTTGCTGTTTTAATCAGAGAATGATGACTAACTTGCCAGTATCTTTAATCTTACTGGACTTGCAGGGCAACTTACCCGTCTCTTGTGGTCTGAGGGATCTCAGCTTTATGTGTAGATGCCTCTAGTGCACTTGATTTTTCTGGTGGGGAATACATGAAAAACTTCTTCCGAATGAAAGTAAATAGATGTGTGTACAGATGGATATTGGAGATTGTTTTACTGGCAGGTTGCAAATGATTCATTGAGCCCTATCTAGATTTACGTAAAGCAAATAATATTTTGCTTTACATTGAATTGTTGTGGCAGAGAAAAATATAGCAGCAAAGAAGTTTCATTATTTCATCACAGGTGATGACAGACTTGATAAGGGACATCTTTACAAATACAGGCAGTATGTTTTTGGTAAAAAAAATATAACCATGAAATTTTTCCACATCTGAGCATCTTCACATCAAAATTTATTGCTGTCTGTGTTGCTACTTACCAACTAGTGTAAAGCCTAAATAATGTACTAGGAAGATGTTGCATTTATTATGTTGTATGTTTTGCTTACTATAAATAAATAATGCAACAGTGCTAACTAGTTATCTCGCTGAAGGAAATCACTGACTTGGAAGACAGAAAATCACAATACCTAATACTCATCTACACAGAAATGTGATCACCATCTTGAAAAATTATTCTGAATGATACAACTATCAGTGAGCAAGAAGTTATATGCCTCTGTTTTATCTTCTGCAGGATTTTATTAGAAATGCTTCATTAAGTCACATTATTCTGCAGCTGTTTGCTCACTGAAAATTAAATAAAAATCAGGAAATTTTTCCAGCAAAGCAGTAATATTTCCTTTGTTAAGTATTGAAAGTTCAAATAAAACAAAATCCTTTAGCAACTGTGTGCCAGAAGCACTGAGTACAACCTATTTTTGTGATGTATGAATGACATTTACAGACGCAATTAATCAATGTATTTATTAGTCAAATCCCATCAAACAAAGAAGATAAATGGCAGTAAACAAAGACTGCATGGTAATACAGAAGCTAAAGCAACAGAAGACCCTACAATCTAATTAATTAATGTTCGGTTTCATATTTCCAGTCTGTATTTAAACATCTCATTTAAATGTCTTTCATCATTTTTCTATTGCATGTCCAAGTAACTCAGGTAGCAATAGCTTTTTATTGGAAAATACATTTTTCATTTACCTTTAGAAATGGTGAATTTTGAAGGGACTGAGGCAAAAGTTTTGTAAGGATAAATATAACAGGAGGGTTCTATACCAGCAGAACTGAATACTGACCTGTCCCTATTCAAGATCATTTTTCTGTTGAGGGATATTCCCAACTGATATATACTTTCATTCCTCCCTAGGCGTAGTTGCATCTCTGACATTTTAAACCAGCTGGAGTATTTGCTCCACTCTCCTTGGATCACTAAATTTAAGAGTGTACTTAAAAGGATTTTTGCTTGTGCTTTTTTTTTTTTTTTTTAAAGCATGAGAAAACAATTGCATAGTATACTCAGCTTCACAGAGTCCATTGTAAGCACGCACTTTCACATTTGAAATATTTTTTAAAAACACAAGTTCACTCTTAGGGCTATTTCAATAGGAAATTTGGCTCAGTGATTTGGTTTTATAAACTGTTAATTTTATTTTGAAACACTTCTCCTCATGACTAAGTTCAGATATATAACATTTATCAGACGTAGAAATGAATGTGGAAACATCAACAGTAATGTTATTCACTTTTCCTGGTGACAGCTACAGAGCTATCTCTTTTTGCTCTTAGTAGAACTTGGGAAGATAGTGGGGTTTACGCTTTCTTTCTTTATATACCCAAGCCAGCCACTCGTTTGCCATATGTAGTGAGTTTTTAATCAAAAGAGATAACAAAATAATAATGGCTACCTAACGTACCTACTAGTGCAGAACAGTCACATTTTTAAGATAAACAATTCAAGGCATCTTCATATAGCTTCTTTCATGTCATGTGTTTTGAAAAACACTTTGGAGATAGAAAAGAGAAAGCAAAGACCTTATGCTTTACTAGTTATAGTAGTTAGCATAGCTACCAGGTATGACATGACACTACATAGTTAGATCAGATGGGATGAAGTCCTGAAAAAAGTTTTTTAGCTTTTTCTTCTGTCTGAATACATCAGTACAGTGATTTGTAGAATGCAATGCAGCTGTAGCTGTTGCTTGAAGTAGCACTGGAAAATGCTTTGTATGGATTTGATCCTTAGTCCTTTAGCAAACACTTATAGGAGAAACTCCTATATGTTTTGTGGTATGGAAGAATTGTTTATATAACTGCATGTGTAAAAAGTTAGAATTTTTTTCCTCATTTTTGAAACTTATCAAACCTCCTAATCTGTACTATGTTCATAGCTTGCATCTTCTAGTTGCCTCATTTCACATCTTGCTGATCTTGTAACATGAAACTTGAACAGAGGTCTCTTGGCACCAGGACAGTGTCATATGCAGCCGCCTCAGCTGTGACCATCTCTTTAACAACGCCAAGGGGAAAGCCACGGTACAGGGTAGCACTCAGGTGAAAGCACACATAGTTGTTTTTGGCTTCTGACGATTTGGTGATCTTCTATGCCTATATCACAAATCAAAGCTAATGCTGCAGAAGGTGCTTTACATTGGCAAACTTCACAAGTAAATAATGAACAATCACAGTTCAACAAACCTATCTGGTTGTACAAATAGCAAAATACTAATAAATTAGTCAGTAAATAACAAACACTTTTAAAATAGATACATTTTAAGTCTTGGCTGTATGCTGGCCTCTCTGTCTGTGGAATATTTCTTGCTTTCTTTGTTACTATATTAAGGTCCAGTATTTGAAGATGAGGTACCAGACTAGACAGACCACTGTCTTCATCCAATAAAGAAAATTCTTTCTTAAAATGCAAGGACGCAGTATTGCAGTACTGCATATTTAACCAAACTGCAATTGCTTAATGTACTGCTTTTGCTTCATTTTTAAAACACTTTTTAAAGCAGGATATAAAAACATTTCTAAAATAAATCTGTCAGTAACATGTAGTCTCACACCAGCTCTTTTAGAGACAGGAGCACAGACCTGACTAGTCTCTCACATTTGCAGTGATACTTTCATATTGGATTTCTTCTACTCCCTCACTGCATTTTTTGCATCACATATTGGTAAGGCAGAGCTGTGGCCTC